TCCTGTATAAAGGAGCTCCGTCATATTAGAAAAAAAAACGAAAACTCCTTTTGAGTGCCAGCTGTGATAGTTATATCTAAGTATATTTTTACAACATTCACTAGAATAAAATATTAAATAAATGTTAATAATGAGCAAAATTCAATTTTACACATGAGTTACTTCATATAAAACTCATTACTTGCCCATTTTAACTGGACCTGAAACCGAAACCGTTTTTCTTCCTTTTATTATTATTCATGTACTGTTATCTCAATTCACCTCAAAGTTGTTCACAATTTTATACAATACCGATTTATAGCTAGAAATTTTAGCAAATTAAAAGGTATGACGTCAAAATTTTCGACTCTGATTAAAACTATTTAGTAACTAAAAACATATAGGTGGGACGTTTTACCTACATCTGATTAGTAACTCCAAAGATTAATTGATGTGATACAGAATTGTCTATATAAATGAACAGATTTTATGTGCAATGTAAAATAATGGTATTTTGCCTAAATTTATATGAATTTTAAATTCATTTGCTCTTAAATTATCACATTAGTGATCCCAAATAATGGTCGTATAACGTATGGAATGATTTTAATATATAATTAACTATGAAGATGGTTAGATTTTTTGCAAACTTTGCTTCAACATCGTTTTTTTAGGATAGAAATTATTTTTAATTTAGAGTATACCGATAATTGCAAGCACCATAGCAGCTAAGGTTATAATGTTCAACGAAGAAAATCAATCAACTTCAGATTACTTATAAGGGATAAAAGTTGTAGAAAGTATGTTGAGAGATACATAATTCATAAATTTCTTTCCGTTACATATTCATTTCAAAAATAACAAGGACTTCGAATGGAAATGCACGAGTTCTTATACAATATTCTGATCTGTTATTACAACTTAACTAAACAGTAACATTGAGAATTTTTTGAATACCGATATGTACTTTTTACTAAAAAGACTACACGTGGCCAATATAATTGTTTTAAAAGATATCGGAATTTACTAAAAATGTTATTATGTTATAAAATTTTAATCCAAGATGAACCTTTGAAGGAAACAGAAGTCAATTTTATTAATAAAAATAAATGTAGCGTAAGATCTGATATACTTTTAGGTCAACACAATTTCACTCCATGTAACCTTGTCATATAGTCGTTTATCGATAGAATCCTGGGTTTAAGTTTTAGTGATAGAAAATTTAAAGTGTTCCAGGATGCTATGGCTCTGGATCCAGTAGCTAAAATTGTCGGTGGAGAAGAAAGAGACCAATTTTATTAGAGTGGATTTCGATTACCTAAATAGTACGTTGAGCAGAAAAGGCTTATAAAAGGAATAAAATAAAAGCCAATAATAAAGCTACGTGGTCATATAATAATAAGATAGAAAAAATATTGTCCGAAAGAATTAAAAGAAATTTATAAACATTATAGGTAGTCAAAATATCGAAAATTGTTTATGCAAGACTCCTAAATACTTTGGGTTGTTCTTGAATATGTATTTGATATCATAGAAGATATCCAAATTGTTTTTGGATACTGAAACATAAAAACACGTTAAATCACATTTCTCATAATTATATAAGGCATTATCACAAGTTATCGGAAAATAACGGCGTACGAAATCAATGTGTACAAGTGTCCGGAATCCATTGGCATAATGAATAGAAATTGTTATCTAGATTACAAAGATCTTAATTGTGATAAAAATACAATGTTAAAATTACATACATTTATTCTGGAATGATATGCCCACTAATTAAGAATCCGTCTCGAAATGAAAAAAAGCTCATTCTAAGAATATGAAGGCAAAAACAAAATTACAACTATAAGAGTCAATAAGCTTTTTATACTATTTTTTACCATTTTGAGTGTTAAAATTCTATTTGATTTTAAATGCTTATACTACGAAGTTATTGCAAAATAATATCGACATCTCCCAATTTCTTAGTAAAATCCATTTCAAGGTACCAAGAAAATAATTTTTGCGTTATGTACCTAGTAACTCAATATCTTATTAGACAATTGAAAATGCTTCTTACAACATAGAGACTTGGGGCGAAAGAGTGAAAACAATGAAGCTATTACTTCTAACAAGAAATTTCGTTTTTTATGTAGACTAATATTATTACCTTTCTGTTTACATTAAAAATGTATCCACAGAATTACTTTTATACGGAAAAGATCCGCTTAACTTTATAGGAAATGAAAAAACAATTCACGGTATCTTCAAAACGAATTCTCAGTTTTATTGAAGCAATTGAAATAAGCATTTATTGTTCTGCGATAAGCCACTTATTTTAACTTATTATATTCTTAATGATGATTTTCAAATGAAATGTATGAAAGAAATATTAAAAGTAAAGTTTAGCCCTACCTATATTTAACAGTGACCGTTAGGACTTATAGTCGGTTAAATATAATTTTGTGTTATTTACCTTTTGTTATACTACAACGGGATACGGCTGGAATAAATTTAATTTTGAGTCCATGTAAGCTTCCTTATCAGGGAATGAAATTATAATTTTACTGTTTACATTTTTAGAATCATATATTATTATGATTATTATTTAATAATTATAATTTTCTGATTCTTTTCAACGTATGATAAACTTTAATTTTAGATACAGATATTAAGTAAGAAGCTGTATATAAAAATTTTATGACAACATTTCAAAAGAAATATTACGTCGTTGCAGTTATAATGGATTAACAGTACATATTTAAAATTTTCTATTCTGAATCAATTTTCATTCTAAATTCTTGGTAATGATTGAGAATATCAATTATAATTATATTTTTAACCCTCATTACGTTGTCTGATACACTTCTTACGCATAAAATATGCTACGCAATAGTATTCTTTTTTTACATCCACGGAAAAGTGTTTCGTAGTCATGATTGCACTTAATGTTTGAGGGAATTAAATATGTTGGTAGTGTACGAACTATAAAAGCCATATTAGTCTTGCCTCGAAGAGACCATAGCAGCCAGAGACGTAATTAAGGTGTAATCAAACCTTAACTGTAGACGAATTAAGCTGCAAGAAGGCTTGGTATTCCTACAAAGGTATGGTAGTGTTGACTTTAATACATAATATTAAGTACCTATTCAATACATAGTATTAGGTACAAAATATCCTACAATATCTACTAAATATCGTAGCAACTGATAATATCGTAGTGAAGCCACAAAATAAGTTACCTTTTAGGCTCTAATAAAATTAATATATATATATATGTATTTAATTTTACACAACTAGCCACAAAATTTTAAATCAATTTACAAGTTTCTATACAACCATGTTAAATGTGGTATGAATTAATTGTGATGACGGGAAATGTATGTACTTTTTTCAAGCCTTAATTTCCAAGTTTAAATTAATAGCATTTTGGTTTCATAAGAACAAAATGAAGTTGCTGCTTTCATGCATTACATTATATTATTTTCGACTCTGTAGCATTATAAAAATTATTTTCACATAATTATGCCTTTTATTCGTCATTTATATATTTCATTCAAGATATATATAACTCATTCACTTATATTAAGTACTTAACTTCAATTTGTCAAAAGACATTTAACTTCAATTTGTTAAAAGACATTCTTCAAACATTAATGAGAGTAAAATGTAAATAAATGAGACCTAAAATATAAATGAGAGTAATTTACCTTAGATTACTTGGCATTAATTTCACAATGATAAAATAAAAGTGTTAAGTGAAGTTTTCATAATTTAGTTTATTTAGTAGCAATTTAAATTTTGAATTATGATATTATTGCCTATGGCCCCTAAAAAACTTTTTAACGGGCTGGTCTCAGTACCACTATACTTTTCCTTAAGTGTTAAGAAACTTAAGAATCAGAATATTTTATTCAACCTGGAGTCACTAAAAAAAAGATTTAGAAAAGTATAGTGAAAATACTAGAGAGTAAAACCATGATTTCATAAAACTTTAGTGTTTGGATTGTGTGTTATACTCATTTTGATGATCTCAGCGCTTTTTGTTCACAGGAGTTTCTTCGCTTTGTGATTATCTTCTATCTTCTATATATATAAAAATGGATTGCTGTTCCTTGGTCTCGCTAAAACTCGAGAACGGCTGAACCGATTTGGCTAATTTTACTCTTGAAATACTCCTGGAAGTCCAGGGAAGGTTTAAAAGGTGAGAAAAATTGGAATAATTGCCGGGAAAACCCTAAAAACAGCCCTTTTCTATTTCCCATACAAACGTTTTTTTTGACATTAGATTTGACAACTAACTAATATGTCAATCATTCTGTTTGATTGAAACAGGAAAAACCTGATTATTTATGGCCTCCAAGAAGGAATAGAGTTCTCCTGGTCAGCTATACCTACATATTATATTACTCTTGACCAAACTAACGCGGACGAAGTCGCGGGCAAAAACTAGTTTAAAATAAAAATATATTTGTACAAATAATAACTGATATTCAGCCTATCATAATAAGCAACCTGTGATAGGTTAACTTTCGAATATCTGCCTACAAAAGCCAGAATATGGATGACCATTATCATAATTTCTTAATTATTGTCATAATTTCTTTGAGGTCAGTCAGTAGTAGACTTTTTTTCTACAGAGTTAATTTTTTTCTTCAAATTACTCACTGGATTATTACATAGTGAATGTTAAAAATCTAGATGTGTATAGCAAATAAACTATATCATTTAAAGTTTACTCTGATCCTAAAGACATCTACACTGTAAGCGCAAGGAAACTATGAACAAAATTTGCTTTGATTCGCATAAAATAGCATAAATTTATCTTTTTTAATAGACAAATTTAATGAGGCAAGTATATAATAAGGAGACATAAACCATAGAGAGCAAAGCATATATATTATATATGTAATAATGCAGAGTTAAGAGAAAGTAAAGGCTATTAAAAAATATGATGTTAAAAGTACACATTGAACAGGAAACATCTTGTATGAATTAGCGCTTTTTAAGATATGGTAAGGTTAATCCACATAACCAAATCAGTCACTACAATCTATAGGTTTCAATGTTGTGTTTATTTCAGCAACTAGGACGTTATAACAGCAATACTGTTGTTATTCATTAACAGACGAGACGAAACTTCTCAGCATTCCATGGATTCACCGTGCGGGTGCCGGGTCCATCGCGTTGCAGGGAGAGGAGCTTCAACAGTGCCTGGGACTTGCGACCCAAGTGTAGGTTTAAGGGGCCCCTTAACTAACGCGCGTTATACGCTCACCTCCACTGTCCAAGCTCCTCTCCCTACCTAACCAAATTTGAAAAGAACCTACTAGGGCTGCCTTCGATGTACGTTCCAAGAATGCATTAATGTGAGTTCTGGACAGGCCCAAGTCCTTTAGTAGGTTGTAGAGAGATTTCGCTGTTATACCTCTCGCTCCCACCTCTACCGCGTACAAATCTACTACGAACCTATTTCGAGTGAGTTCGTTTGTGAGCTCGTAATATTTGTTGACCTTGATGGTATGGTCTTTGAGGATGTTGGTTTCCCAAGGGACCGTAAGTTCTTTCATCACTACGCGCTTTAAAATTCGCGAAAACAAAAATATATCTGGTCTGGAGGCCGACGCACAAATATCCTCGGGGATTTTATATTGTTTTTCATACGTGTCCATCATTATAGTCCAATCCGACGCCGCTTTCAGGATGGAGTAAGGCTTGACGTTTGATTTTGTAGCCCTAGTGCCTTCTCTCACAAAACCTACTGATCGTTCGTTTGTGGTTATTTCCTTTTGTGCTCTGGCTACCGAAAGACTAACCGCTTCACGTATGACTTCTAGAACCCTATCGTGACGACGCGAGTATTGACCGCTGTCCAGGAGTACCTTACATCCCACCAGCAGATGCTTAGCAGTTCCAACTGCCTTTCCACAGATAGAGCAAGTTTTTTCGGTACTTTTACCCCATCTTACCAAACTACTCTGATCTGGGAGAGTCATCTGGAACGCATTGAGATAGAATTTTAGCAATGCTGGCGACCAATCATAAATTAAAGTGCGCCATTTTAATGCTAATGGGATGCAAAAATCTCCTATGTCTAACCACTCGTTCTGCATTTCTAAATTCATTGCATGGATCTTATATTTATCATTCTCGTCTTGCCGAATAAAAGACTTCAATATATCCGCATCTTGGACTTTCCTAGTTTATGAAATATCCCGTAAAAGATGTATAAAATAATTTCAACTAATGTCCAAGGATTTGAAGGCTTATTTTGTTCATCCATTTTTACTATAGTCCAGTCATTTAAGCTTAAATTAGGTAAGAATCTCGGAATTCGAGATACCCAGCTGTAAGTCTGTAAATAGTTGTATATTGACACCCTAAAAGTTGTCTCAAAACCTACATATGGTAGGGTGTAAGCAACTATTAAATTTCAGGGTCAAAGTTCACTAAAATCGGTTTTTTGCGCTTTTTTTGGAAATATCTCATTTCCTATGGGTTTTTTGCTATTTGTATTTATTATGAATATTGTAGAATACTAAATTCTCTACAAATTTTGTTTCAAAAATTTTTTTACACGGTGTACCGTTTTCGAGATAGAGGGCGGAGAGCGCGCGGTCACCGCATCACTTCAGGTCAACCGGTGCCTCCGGTCGAAAACGCGCCATATATAGTTGATGAACTATCAATAAATCAATGATTATAAATATTTGTCAATTTTTATTAACTATTATATTATATTTTATCATTTTTTTCCTAACTTATCCACTTTTTATTCAGTATTAATTTATTTAACAACACTTACCTGTCCATGTAATTGCAGAATTGTTAATGAAAATATAAGACTTATATTTGAATTTTAACCTAATTAATATTAATAACTTCTTACATCATGAAAAAAAAACAAATAAATTATGAATTAATCTTTTTATTAAAAAATATCATTGAATAAATTATTTTTTATTGAAAGTAAAAAAATGGAATAAAGGGTACAAAAACTACAATTTATAATTTTAAACATCTTCTTCCTCTTCACCGTCGTCTTCTGGCTGCTGGTAAATTTCAAACTGGTCTTCATTATCGTCTTCAACGACATTTGTCTCAAGTTCTTCCATGATTTTGGGATCAAAGGTTCCATCTTCGTTAATGTCGCTCTGATATGGTTGAGCATTGAGACAAGCTTGCCCATTACATTGGCCACAAGCTAAAGAGCATTGCAAGCCCGCTTTCCTGCATCCGCATCGCGAACCACAACCACGTTTGCAGTTGCAGAAAGTTGTATTTAGCAAATTTTCTGGAGCAGGTGGTAAAATTGTCATGATAGGCTCCAGAAAATCATTTCGCATTGCCCAACACCATACCTGGGGTTCCAAATCATGTCCTAACCAAGTTTGAACTTGATAATATACACGGTTGAAATGATGCGCGCTCTCCGCCCTCTATCTCGAAAACGGTACACCGTATAAAAAATTTTTTGAAACAAAATTTGTAGAGAATTTAGTATTCTACAATATTCATAATAAATACAAATAGCAAAAAACCCATAGGAAATGAGATATTTCCAAAAAAAGCGCAAAAAACCGATTTTAGTGAACTTTGACCCTGAAATTTAATAGTTGCTTACACCCTACCATATGTAGGTTTTGAGACAACTTTTAGGGTGTCAATATACAACTATTTACAGACTTACAGCTGGGTATCTCGAATTCCGAGGTGAACTTACTATAATGACTGGACTACTAGCGTATAACCACGGACACGGTGGCTAAACTCAAACCGAACGTAACATGATTATAACATAAAGAATTTACATAACTATGGTTTCATACTAAAATCAAGACTCAATGTTTTACAGGCTTTAGGTTCATTGTAATATTAAGGCCCATTATCCAATTTGTTACAACGATCTGTTGATTATTTAAAGCGGATTAAGATTTCTGTTCGCAGTTTAAAGTGAAAAAGATGGAAAAGATGCAAAACATAAATAAAAATAACAATAAACCAAAGTAATAAAATTCGAAGTAGAATTATAGTTTTTGATATACATACAGTAACAATATTTTATTACCTCGTTATTTTACTCTAATTTTTATCTATTTTATAAATCTCCGAGTAAATGTGAGCGAAAAAAATAATTCACAACGCGTTCTGGAAATAAAAAAGCCATGGCATTAGGGAATATTATTTGATTACAACGCACACTACTGTCCGATATGGATTATTTTAAAATGCAATTCTCTCTTTATTAGCATTAGAAAATATGGTAACTGCGATTTTATTTTTGTTTAATTATATACCACTAACCCTATTTGAAATACTTACACAAACTACACAAACACTAACTTTACCATTAAAACTCCTTGAAAAGTCATTTGTTTGTATTTCAAACAGATTTTATAATTGAGTTAAAAGTTAGAATTAAGTTTGGTTTGACCTTTTGAATTAATAATTCATATTTTTTAAACATATTATATCTTTATATTATAAAAACCTTTTAATGACTAGATGGTAAGGTTATAAAGTACGAGCTACTTAAAGCTTTGTGCTAAAAATAAAGTACTACCAAGTCTCGAACTGAAATTAAATGTCAAAATACTACCTATTAAAATGGTAATAATTAATTAATTAGAATACATACATCATTTTCATATAAATATATATACGTTTATAGAATAAATAACTCTTAAGTTGCAAGAAACTAGACTACACTACCAGGAATAAAACTTGTATGTTTGGGAAGCTTTTGCAAAGGCCTAATAGTATAACAAGCCTTCCTTATCATTTATAGAGTACCATCAAAACTTTTAATCGGATGCAACCTTTAAATTAATTAAATAAAAAAAATCTATTTTGAATTAATCTGCAATGTTGCAGTAAAGTCTTAAATAACCAAACAGGATGTTTTCACCGCGTAATACTATTTAACAGGAGGGTATTTTACAACCAGTCTAAAATTAAAGCCAATCTGAAATACATTCGCGACAACATGTTTTAATCTTAATCTCAACTACCTATAACTATAATTTTATTGTAGTCGAGTAAAATTAGATACATTTTTTAAAATAATTTCTTAAGTAACATTTAAATTTAAATATATTTTAAATGAAAATAGTTTGGATCCATTGAAATTTTAAAACAACCATATTGGTTCTTGTGTGAAAAATTACTAAAACATGTATTTTTTATTTCACTGAAGTAATTATTTTCTAACATAAAATATGTTTAAAACCAGACAATAATAACACAGACAAGACAAATAGAGTCGATGAGAGAACTGTTTTCTAAAGAGTTTTAAATATATAACGATAAATGATCAATTTGAATAAAATCTATTTATAATTGCTATGTAAAGTATATAATATGTAAATGTAATTTAATTTGTTTAAAAGGTACCTTTGCTGAAATAGGATTTTTTTCAGTTTATGATTATAAAACTATCAATATACTCGTATACTGGATCGATATCTATAATGGATACTATGGACACGTCATGAGGAATAATTCCGTAACGATAAAGTTATCACGACAAAATATATACATACAACAATAAGTTGTAAGACTAGTAGTTTATTATTCTTGATAGTTTCCCAAGATTCATATAAATAATCAGATATCATGTTTTATAAACCATTGTTCTTTATACATATGTATAAGAATAATAGTAAATGTTTACATAATCGATCTAATATTTAAAAGAACAGTCGTTTATAACTTTAAATAGTTTTTCTATATTTTCTTCAGAAAAAAAACACTAGTATGGCAGGACGGCTTATACAAACGGCTTATAAACGGCTTATAAAAATATATAAATAATTAATTTAATTTTCTCCGCTAAGGTAGCAATTTATTTGTTACAGCACATCATACTCATAGGAAATACACAATAGAGTATAATACTAATATTTTAATACTGATTAAGTCAAATAGTGTTTATTTTACTCATAATTTAAAGCCATGGTCCTAGCGAGCTAAAGAAGCAGATACATATTTATTTATTTGTTATTGTTTTAATCAAATAAGTCAAACTTAAACATTAGGAACTGCTAAGTTAATATGTTTATGGAAGAAGTTTGCTAGATAAAACTTTGAGAGCAATGAAAGAGATAAATGTTATAAAACAAGCACTATTTACTTTATTATGTAAGTTTTTGACCGTTTATTTTTTGATTTTTTGTATAATTTTTCAGTATGATATAAGAATGTGGATGATTCTATATAAATAAAGTTTGGTAATAGTCGTAAACTAATTAAAATGTGTGTATACAAGTTATACTTCTACAGATATGAGTAAGAATACTTCTCCCTGGGAGAAATTATTATAAACATATAAGAATATTAACTATTACTACTACATATATATTCGCTAGAAAGGAAGCAAAGAGTGTACTGTGTGCTGTTCAAAAGAGGTATTTGGAATTCAAAATAGGTGTCTAGCTAAAAGCTCATATATGGCGTTTATATGTAGTACTTTCTTAATTATTGCACATAACTGTTTACGCTTCGTATGTAGTATAACGATGCAAACTTTTGGTAAGTACTTTCTTTAATAATACTTTCCTTTGTAAAGTTATACAAACTTAGTTGAAGGAATTAAGTTAGTAACATCTATTAAAATAGTTGCAGAACCTATATCAAGTAATATACATATACGTGATTGCTGTTTTAAAATAAGTACATTTTGTTAGTAACTCTAAGTTTCCACTAATTACTTATACTAACATAAAGATAATTAAAGAAATATTCAAAATAGTATAGATACACAATAAAATGTTTTCTCTCTATTCGTAATATCTAGTTTGCTATTAATAACAATTTACATAAGGAAGTTGGCTAAAATGCTGACCCTACTCACTTTGCCGAATACTATGCACCAAACATTATAGAAATTTTCTTGTCCGTGATATTGACGACTGGAACTATATTGATAAAATATAAATCTGTAGCTCAGAGGAACTTCATATAATACAAACAAAATCGTATAAACGACAGATGACTTAAATAACTGAAATGTTGACTAAGGTTGATTTATTAACATTTGAATTCTTGAATGTCACAAACCAAACTTTTCTTTATATATAATACCGACAAAAAGTTTGGAAGCACTTCAAATACT